AGAATAATGTATTTACTAAGGAGCAATGCTGGAAACACAAATGCAATGAAGATCTAATTAACAGATCCTTAGCATTTGGAAAAATGTTAGTTATGCTTGTTGGTTGAATATTAAAATATGGAATATTTTATAACACTTTTTATGTCATAATTTTTACTTACTATGCTTGTTTTCATGCATATAATTGTACCACTGCTATACTGTTTACTAGTAATATATTTAGTAATTCTATGTGATGTGACAGATTTTTCTACTCCTTGCTAAATTTAAAGAGGTGTATGCTAATGATGAAAGACTGTGATCCCTGTTGCAGAATAGAGTCTACTCTAGACTATGAGATTATTATCAATAAATAAGTATAGAGTGAGCTTTATTATGGTAATCAATTTTCTTGAGCTCTGATAAAATCTGCTGGAGTGTTTATGTCTGATAAGAATTTAAGTGAAACTTTTTGTTGTAAATGGTCTCAAATAGGTCAATCTGATCACAGAATAAATAAATATTAAACCCTTATCTTCTTCTATGGAAAATGTATTAAAAAATGTTCCCTCTACTGTTATATGGTGGTTGAATCTGTAAGTTTTATTATTAGTTTTCATGTACTTCTTTTAAAAATGATCCAATATATCTTTGCCCATTAACAGGCAAAAATGAAGAAGAAAATCACCTTTTCTCTAGGGATGATGTGTTGTTTTTCACAAAGGGAAAACTTAGCTTTATTCTGCAATAACGTAGCCCTCTTCTGAGGTCAAGCTATAAGAGACAATCTCATTATTTTCAGGGAATACCTAAATGACCTCATGTTTTTTAAAGACAAAATCAGTAATTAATTCAAGCATTTGTCAAATCGCTGCCTATATCAGTTTGAAATGACATGTTTTGTCTTTGTAGTCTTTTATTTTGTAGGGCTGTAACCAAACTCATTCAAGGTGCTATTCTAACACGCTGTGCCTTTTGCTCATATTGTTCTTTTATCAAGCTGTACCTTATTGTCAAAGTTGCTGCATTATTCCATTTTTTTTTTTTTCTACCAGATAAATTTGTATGTTAAAACTCAAAATTACATGGCTGGGGATCTAAACAGCTCTACTGGATGCCGTTTTGCCATTTTTATAACAAACATCTATTTTCTGCATTGATCTAAAAACTGGACTATAGGTTCATGTTTTATAGATATATATATCATTTTATTTGTTAAAAAATAATACTTTACTTATTATATACCTATATGTACATATTATATTATCCATTCATATAAACTATTATGATCCTGTCAAATGTGTACCCCGCCGAGCACCCGTAGACAGCTGGAGATAGGCACCAGCACCAGCATGGATGGATGGATAAATTATTACTT